CCCCAAAACCCCAAAACCCCAAAACCCCTGACTTAGCTCTAAAATTGAATATTGGAATATTTTGATAAGCAAATCTTAAAGAATCTTAGCCCTTCTTAATGCCTATTTCTTTTCCAAAGATTTAATGTATTGATAAACTACACCAAAGTCTTTTTTGCCTTTACCTTGTCTATAAAGATTAGTTCGAGCTAGATGCTTACCTTTCAAGCTCATGATAGAACTCAATTGCCTTTGTACCAAACTGAAGGTCAAGATTCACTTCAGCAGCAGAGTCAAGGACAATGCTGAGATCTTTCTTAACCAAAGATACTCCAAAACCTCCCTCGTAATTGTTGGAAGATGGAACTCCTTCCAAGATTCCTGGTCTTGGATTGTAGCTATTCAGGGACCAACAGCTTGATGTTGAAGTGCTACAGATCTTTGAGAGAACAGCAGGATCAATTCCTAATTTCTCTCCCAATGCGATACCTTCTGAGACAGCGATCATTTCAATGGCGAGCATTAAATTATTGCAAATCTTACTAGTCTGTCCAGTTCCTGGAGCTCCACAGTGAAAGATATTTGATCCCATTGATTTAAGGAAAACTTCAATCTCTTCATAGTAATCTTTCTTACATCCAACCATGAACGTGAGAGTTCCAGCAGCAGCTCCAGTAACTCCACCTGAGACAGGTGCGTCTGCTATCTTAAATCCTAGCTTTTCTCCTTCTTCTGCCATTTTCCTAGAAGCAATTGGAGAAATTGTACTTGAATCAATAATGTATGAACCTTCCCTTGCATTTTCAAAGATTCCATTACTTCCTAGCCTAGTTTGCTCAACAATATCTGTATTAGGGAGCATAGTGAGGCAAAAATCTTGATCAGTGGCTGCAGCCTTGACATCAGGTGCAATTTTGGCTCCTAATTCCTCTGCTTTTTCCATCACCTTATTATCCACATCATAAGCAGTGATCTCATATCCATGGCTCATACAATTCCTCATCATTGAGAATCCCATATTTCCCAGACCCATGAATCCAACTTTCTTGCCTGCCTTGCTACTAAAATTCCTAGTACAGATCCTTCCGATCATATTGAACACTACTAAATATATCTATCTAGATGATATTTTTAGGGGTTTTGGGGTTTTGGGGTTTTGGGGTTTTGGGG